TGTTCCACACCCTGTACAACAGCAACTTTGCAGAGTGCCCTCTCACACTCCAGGACCCCTCGTGGGGTGTCGTAGAGCTGGTTTTGGCCCAATCCCTGCAGACCAGGCCGAGGGACCCCACCTTCCTGAGGGACCCTGCTCATTCCACAGACCCCCTTCGAGCCATAGCGCCACTCCAGGTGCAGTCTGCTGGGGAGGGACCGTGGGGAGGTTGGCTCCAGGGCGTGTCCGGCCCGTCTTGTCCAGTCCCACCCTGCCAGCCACCTTCTAATTAATTTCCTTTCAATGTGCATGAATCTGTGCACCAAGTCACTAGTATATATATAAAATGCTTGGGGTAGTCAGGGTGTAATAAGTAAATAAGTAAACATTTGTGGTAGGTAAATCATTATGGCCCAGTGTCTGTACAAAATGCTCTGGGAGGAAAGTATACTAGTAAAAGCTTCTTAAAAGAGGTAGCATTTGACCTGGGTATTGATGGGTGAGTAGGAGTTTGTCTCTCAGAGAAGGAGGAGATGACCAAGAGGAAAATATGTGCAAAGGTATAAAACTTTAAGAGGGTAATTCATGGTTAGCAATTGGTGAGAGGGTCAATGGAACTATAAGGTGAAGAGTGAGGAGAGATCCACCAGGAAAAGTAAACTGGGCTGAAATTCTTCAGCTGTTTAATTAAAAAGTTTGTAGTGTCAGGGATGTGCTAGGCACTGGAGATGCTCACATCTTCGCTCTAGCAGAGCGAGAGACTGCGACGACAAACCAAGATACAATTCTTGGTGGCCATAAGGCCATGAAGAAAGTAGAGCATGATGATGCAAGAGAGGACCAGCGGAGTGGCCCCTTTAGGTCGGGAGATGAGGGAAGGCTACACCAAGGAGGTGGTGTTTGAACCGGGGCTAAACTCCAAGGAGCCAGCCAAGGGAACAGCACCCACAGAGGCAGAAATGAGCCTGGCTTGTTTGCGGAACAGAAAAGTCAGCGTGGCTGCTATTTACAGGCGGAGGGAGTGAGGAGCGTGGCAATGAGGTTGGACAAGAGGGCCAAGCAGAAGTGGCCCACCTTGTAGATGATGATAAGGAAGTTCACTTCCTTCTAGGGCAGCAACAAGCCATTGGAGGCTCCCAGATGTGACCTGCGCTGGTAAAAGACCCCTGGGCCTGTGGAGTGGGATCGGATTTGGGGGCAAGAGGTTTTGTAACAAGAGTAGAGTAAAGAAGTCGCTGCAGGAGTTGAGCTGATGGTGGCGCAGACCAGTGCAGTAGACGTGGTAAGGGGAAGTGTGTGGATTGGGAAGGGCATTGTAGGCACCCCCAAGCAGTCTGAACTTCCCCTGTTGGGGAAATGGGGGCCAGTGGCAGCATCAGGTTTGTAGGATGGGAAGCTACTCTTTCAGAACGGTTAGGAGGCCAGCGTGGAAGAAGGCTCCATACAGCGCAGAGAGGTAAGAGCCTGTGGGTTCAAGGATCAGCAAACTATGGTCTGTGGCCAAATGTGGCCTGTACAACCCATGAGACAAGAGTGTTTTTACATCTTTAAATGTTTTTCTTTTTAAAAAAAAAGAAAGAAAGAAAAGCAGCATATATGACAGAGACCATATGGTTTACAAGGCCTAAAATATTTACTATCTGGACCTTTACAGAAAAAGTTTGCCCACCCCTAGTTTAGACCATCTGCAGTCTTTAAAAAGAAAAAAAGGAAAAGGAGGCTGAGGACACTCTTCATGTATTGATGGAATTATCTTCAATGTATGCTGTTAAGTGAAAAAGGCAACATGCCAGCTTACATCCAGCATGCTCTATTTGTGTGAGAGGGAGACGACATGAGCACTTGCTTGTGATGCTGCTAAAGAGACCTGGCATGCTGACCACCTCCACGACAGGGGCCTGGTGGTGAGCAACTGGTGCGGGAGGGAGTCTGTTCAGTATGCAGCCTCTGTAGCTTTTGAATGTTGAACCGCTTACCTGTATTACCCAGTCCCCAAAAATGTGACAACAGAAACGACTGCGGGCTAAATTAAAAGAGCAACATGCTTTAGTGGTTTAAGAGCAGAGACTCCAGGGACAGACTGCAGGAATTCAAATTCCAGGTCTGCTACTTACCCCGCCGTG